TACTAATTTGCTCAAGCAATGAAACTGCATCAGGAACAGCAGCTGCAACTGGAGTCACCACCTGATTAAGTTTATGATAATCTACTGTCATTTTCCAAGATCCGTCTGTTTTTTGCACAGGCCAAATAGGAAAATTAAATGGGGATGTGGTGGGAATCACCACCCCTGCATCCTTCAAGTCCTTGATGGTGGCAGTAATCTCTGCAGGCCCTCCAGGGATGCGGTACTGCTTTTGGTTTACTATTTTTGTAGGTCAAGGCAGTTCTAATGGCTTCCACTTGGCTTCTCCTACCATAATAGCCCTCACTCCACATGTCAGGGACCCAATGTAAGGGTTCTGCCAATTGCTTAGTATTGTTGTTGTTATGTGCCCTCAAGTCGGACCCGACTCATAGCGACCCCTCTTTGGGTTTCCGAGGCAGTATCACTCTGGAAGTAGATTGCCCCATCTTCCTTCCGAGGAGTGGCTGGTGGGTTTGAACCGCCAGCCTTCTGGTTAGCAGTCAAGTGCCTTCACCACTATGCTATCAGAGCTCCTATATCCATTCCAATTATGCATTCTGGAACTGGGAAAATCACTACAGGATGGGTTTGGGGACCCACTGGGCCCACTGTGAGATGAACCTGAGCTAAGACTCCATCAATAACTTGACCTCCATATGCCCCCACTCTGACTGGTGGACCACAGTGATGCTTTGGGTCTCCCTCCTGGAATTAGTGTCAGTTCAGATCCAGTGTCCCGTAATCCCTGTAAAGTCTGATTATTTCCTTTTCCCCATGAACAGTCACTCTCATAAAAGGCCTCAGATCCCTTTGGGAAAGGCTGGGAGAAAGATCGACATTATAAACTTTTAGCAATGTAGTGGGGTCCTTCCTCAAAGGGACCTGGCCTCCCCTTCATTCAAGAGGTTATGGGTCTATAAACTGACTCAAGTCTGGGAATTGAGAGGGCATAACTCTATTCTGGTGATCCAATCTGGGCTGCTGTTCACATGACCTAGAATTCTTCTGTCTATACAGATCAAGGAAATATTTAGTGGGTTTACCATGTATTTCACTACTAGGAACACCATGACTAAGTAGCCAATGCCATAGTCCACATAAGTCAGAGTATTCTGATTACACTGTCCATTATGGGAATTATGCCCACCTTGCCTTTTGTCGATTAACTGCTGCTGTTTGGCCCGTACTGGCATGGGGTCCAATCAGCCCCATCGCAGTTAAGTGTCTTAGTTCAATTAGGGCAGTTCCCACTGTCAAATCTGCCTTATATAAAATAGCAATCACAGCAGTCTACAAGGATGCTGG